GTGTGTATGTGTATGGCATGACTGTGGCCCAGGAGACAATGTGAGGAATGTATGAATGTGTGAATAAAGGAGCTGCCAGCTAAAGATGGTTCAAGGAAAATATGAAGGGATTTCCATTCCAACTAAAAGTGGAAACTGAGAAGGAGAAAATTCCATTTCATAGGTTTTGTGTGAGTTATATGTGTGTGAGTAAAACAGAAACAATGAAATCTACCTTGACGTCCATCCACATAACAAACAGGATCTCAGGACCGGCCAACAAGTTCCTTCCCCTAGTGATGCAGTGATGTCAACAGATCCTAGCTGTTCTCAGTGTCTGTCATGCATGTGTGAGCATATGGCAGATGAGCATACGGAGCAAAACAAAAAACATCACTAACACCTATAAAAGAAAGCCAAACAGTTTCTACTGAATTACAAACTTATTCCTAATAACCACCCTAAACTAAGCCATTTGTATAAAGGTTGCATCCGGATACCAATGCACAGGGACTTTGCAAAGCATCTATAAAACTGGGTTGAGGACCAGAATTCAAGAAAAAAGAAAACACAAAACGTGGCAACATTAACCATGGGCCCTGAAAATTTCAAAGGAACAGGAAAAAGATTTGGCAGTACTTCTCAGGAAACTATGAGGACTCGGATAAGCATGATGTACTTTGGTTGTCATGACCACAAACTGAATAGAAGCCTCCGATTCTCACATCACACAGACATGGTGAGCTAAAACAATACATAAACTGTGTGGCTGGCTTATTTACAACAAAATTAAGTCATTAAATGGGCATCTCAGAAAGAGAGCTCTGCCTGAAGACAAAATAAAAAGGAATGAGCTGCATGCCACAATGACGTCAGCGCCTCACTTGAGGTCTCCATCTCCTTCTCCATCCCCCTGGATGGACTTCTTGATACGAAGCAGCATGGTGGTCAGCCACTGATCCAAACGTGATATTGAGTCGAATTCCTTCACCTGGTTTAAGAAAGAAAGACAGGAATTAGACCCAAAAACTCTGTAAACACAAGAGGATAGTGGCCTAAGCTGTGTGAAGATGTTACTGGAATAACCCACTGACTCTGACTGGAAGTTACTCATTCTCATTTATAAGTTCTCTTGCTAAAAACAGTTTTTCTTTTCCTTTATCTCATAAGTCTGTGCATTTAACTTTTCTCTATATGTAAACACATGTGTGGCAGAAATCCTGAAAATCTATTATGAATGGAAAAGTGAATTCTATGTGACAGAAGACAAGTGGGCATGGCAGAAGAATCAGGAAAGTGTAAGTATTATTTACTGTCCATGGAAAAATACAATCAAATAGCTAGAGAATGCAAAAGAGAAGTCCCTTGATGGATTTCAGCACATGCAAAGAAAGACAATGGCATTTGTGAAAGCAGTTTTGAGGATAAAAGGACTGTCTTAATCCTTTTCACTGTCACTTTAAGACCGTAGTTGAACTCATTCTAGGCAACTCCTAAATCTGCTTGACTCCAAACACAAGATTAGGAAAGAAAAAAAAAAAAAAAAACCACTGAAATAAGACAAGTATGAAGTAACCTATATCACAAATACACCAATCACTCAGTTTTGATACTTTAATTTTAACTATAAACCCTCCTTTATGTTTATGCATCAGCCTGTTTTCAAAACACCAAAACAGCATATTACGACTTCTAAATAAGCATCACAGCTAAGGTGCTTCTCAGAGGAAATAAAGAATCAGGGCCCAATAAAGCTCAATTTCTGCATGGTAACTGGTTAATGGAACTAAATTTTTAAAAAAATTAGGCTGATTTATTTTAGGTGTGTAAATGCATATGCAGTTATGAGTGTGTGTGCCTGATACTCTTAGATGTCAGAAGATGGCACTGATTCTCTGGAGCTACAGATGGTTATGAGCTATGGCGTGCTGGACACCCAATTCTAGTCCTCTGTAAGTGAAACAAATGTTCCAAACTCCAGTGCCATGGTCTCCAATGCTTAACAGAACTAATTTGTGGAACATGCAAGTCATGATCTTTGGAAAATACAAGCAAGTTGAAACCCATTCAAATAAATGTTCAGAATTTATACAATGCAAAAAAATGAATTTTTATAAGTAAACCTTTAAAAATGCAACATGCAATATATCCTAAAGGTTTAACTTACTGCTTCAGTGTAAGCTTCACTGTTCTGTTCTTCATGAGCTTCTAGAAGTTTCTGATGGTATTAAAAAAATCAAGAAAACACTTTAGGCTAGAAAGTCTTGTTTCTGAAGGAATACTTTAAACTGAAATCACCTTAGTATCCAATGAACTAATATTCCTAGCATCTCCATAAAATGGGATATATCTAATAAGAATAACCCAAGAAAAGGCTCTAGCTTTGTATTACTATTTCAAGGCTGCATACTTCAGAACGGTGTTAAACATCCTAACTCTTTTGGCATATGAATATCTACGATGAAAAAGCAGCCAAGTCTGAGGTACCCAAGTGATGGCTAGTCTTCACTGCCAACTTGACTAAGTTTAGAATCACTATTCAATCACTCCTCTGGGTGTTTCCAGACAGGTTTAAGAGAAGAAGGAAGAACTAAAGAAGAAAGAGCCACCATTTCTTGGGCCCTGCATTGAATTAAAGGAAAGAGCAAGTAGGGCATCAGCACTACTTTCTTTCTGCTTACTCACTGTAGACTCACTGTGACCAGATGTCTCATGCCCCTGGTGCCAGAAAGGACTGTCCAATGAAACTGTAGCCAATGCAACTTCCTTTATTAAGTTGCCTAATGTTGGATTCTTTTGTTATAGCAAGGAACCCAGTAACCAACACCCCTCAGAAAACTTACTAAAACTCCACCCAGCACCAGTCCCACTTAGGTGCCATCAACCAACATTAAAGGCTTCTGACTTCAAAGTTGTTTCAGTACTTACTTTCAATAATTTACATTCTCTGGAGTCAGTAAATGCTGGAAACATTTCCTCATATTTCTCAAGAGCGAGCTGAGTGGAGGAAAATAACCAGTCACTGACAGTGAACTAGGGTAGTTGTCAATGCTCTATCAGTTCAAAAATTTTATTTCCATCTCATTTAACTGTTTAAGAAATATAATGTTAAGCCCTACATCAGAACATAGGAAACCTATTTATTTTGAATATTCAATTTTGATTGATAATAAAATTTCTAAAATAATTTTTAATTTTAGTTGGGCTGCTGAAGAGAAGAAACAAAATAAAATCTAATTCACTGCCAGGATCTATGTGCATGTGCTACACAGAGAAGACCTTCCTGACTTCTTTCCTTTCTTTTTTTTTTTGGCTTTTCGAGACAGGGTTTCTCTGTGTAGCCCTGGCTGTCCTGGAACTCACTCGGTAGACCAGGCTGGCCTCAAACTCAGAAATCCGCCTGCCTCTGCCTCCCAAGTGCTGGGATTAAAGACATGCGCCACCACCGCCCGGCTCCTTCCTGACTTCCAAATGCCAAATGTCCATGGGGTAGGACGGTCTCTAGAGTAGTTTTCTTTGTGGCTCTCTGATGGCCAGTGCTGTGTGCTCAGGCCCCATCTTACTTTCCAGCTGTCCTCTTGCTTTGCAGCTTTCTCCAACCTTCATCCTATTCTAACTCTACTTCTGAGGGTTGTTGTTTGTGCTTTTCTTTTTCTTTTTTTAAATGAGGACATAGAAGCTGGGTGTGGTAGTCCACATCTTTAATCCCTGAATTTAGGAGGCAGAGGCAGGCAGATCTCTGTGATTTTGAGGTTACCCTGGAACTACATAATGAGTTCCAGGGCAGCCAGGGTTATATAGTGAGACCCATCTCAAACAAACAAACAAACAAACAAACATGCCAACAACACCCCCCTCCAATCCATGCATGCATCCATCCATGCATCCATCCATCCATCCATCCATTAGGGCCAATGAGGTTTTTAACAGGTAAAGGCATTTGCCACCATGCCTGACTTGAGTTTGATCCCTGGATCCAACATGGTGGAAAGAGAAGACTAACTCCTAAAAGGTGTTGTCTAACTTCCACATGTGTGCTGTAATATCCATGTTTACTGACCCCTCATAAGTAAATAAATAAGCCAACATATGTAAAAAGGAACAACAGAGTATACTAATTTTACTGTCTTAGTTCCTTAATCTATCTAAATCAACCACTGAAGGAAACCTGAAGAGGACAGCATTGTAGCTGCTGAAAGATTCAAACTCACCTGCCATGGAAGAACTATTACTTTTACTTTGTGTATATCAGGAGACAGGTAATAAGTATGTGTTCGTGTGGCTGTGTGCCCAGGCATGTTAGGGTGTGCGTATGTGGAAGCCAGAGGTTAATGTCAAGTGTTTCTCTCAATCATCCTCCACCTTATTTTTGAGATGAGGCCTCTTCCTGAACCTGAAGCTCATCACTTGGCTAGACTGGCTAGCCAACAAGCTTTAGGGATCTGCTTATCTCTGCTCTGTTCCTCAATGCTGGACTTACAGATGCGAGCCAGTATACCTGGCTTTTACATGGATGTTGGGCATCTGAACTTGGGCCTGCAGGTTTGTGAGTTAGGCACTTTATCAACTGAGCCCTCACCACAACTCTAAACACCTATAGGGAAAGACGTCAAGGATGACAAAGTGACTGTCCTCAAGGGCAAGATCATCAGAAAGGAGCACGTTCTCACCTTCGCATTCAGCTCATCCACTATAAAGTGACAGAGTGCTGCCTTGAAGAAGTAATCCTTCGCACTGTACTTCAACAAGGGGTTATCCATAGTGTTTGCTCCCACCTAGGCAGAAGACAGCAAGGCACTATTACAGGCAAAGCAATCCACTGCTTACTCATCTGTTTTCCTTAAAAAAAAAATACCTTTCACTATCTTATATACTCAATACCAAGTAATACAAAGTTTTACAAGGTAAGAAATAATTATGATGCACATAAACTGTTAAAAATGCCTGGAAGATGATGGAAAGATCTAAGCTTTCCCTAGTTCTGCCTATGAAATACAACTAGAGGTTTGCTGGGATTTTTTGTTTTGTTTTGTTTTGTTTTGTTTAAACAACAAACATCAGTGGACATAGGGCACAGGAGAGCCAACCAGCTAGGGGCATGACATCAAGGAAAATCACCTGAGGCGGGGGCAGGGGCTATTGAGCTTTGTTCTTTTTTATTATAGTCCCAACATGAAAATAAAGAACCCAGTTTCCAGAAGTGCCAGGAGGAGCCAATTAAAAGAGGCAAAGACCAGACAAGGCCTAACAGGGGTGGGACTTCCAAAAAGGGGAGTCTGAACTTCTCCCTCCACCAACACACCTACATCTCCTGTCAAGTGTTAAAGAGGGCCATTGTAGAGAAGGATGATGTAAATCAGATGCAGCCTCAGAGCACTGAGAAGGTCACCAATCAGCAGAGCACAATGAGTAGGTCACCAGTCACAGGAGAGCACAACATGAAGGCCACCAATCATAGCAGAGCACAATGTGAAGTCCACCAATCACAGCAGAACCCAATGTGAAGGTCACCAGTAACATCAGAGTACAACATGAAGGTCACCAGTCACAGCAGAGCACAACATGAAGGTCACCAATACCAATCATAGCAGAGCACAATTTGAAGGTCACCAGTCACAGCAGAGCACAATTTGAAGGTCACCAGTCACAGTAGAGCACAATGAGAAAGTCACTGATTATAGCAAGACCTTACTACAGAAGTACCATACAATTTCAGGTAACAGAAGTGTTAGACCCATCTAAGTTTGCTCAAAGGAGCTCTCAGAACAAATTCCTCAATAAGCATATAAAAATGCTTGAAACTAACAAACTAAAGAAACTAAAAACAGATCCAGTGATGGAGCTTAGTTCTGCAGCTTAGTGGCAGAGCTTCCTGAGTGCTGTGTTTAAGGCTCTGGGTTCAATCCCCAGAATCACAAAGTGAAGCAAAAAACAAACCACACCAAACCACACCAAACCACACCAAACCACACCAAACCA